TAGATATTGGCTTGAATGTTGATGTCAGTCTCAAAACAATTTTAATCTGGGTGTTGTGGGAGAAAAATGGTTGGTTTTTGCAACTGACAACAGATAACAGATAATCAGAGTTGGAAGGGACCTTGTAGGTCATCTAGTTCAATCCCCCGCACAAGCGGAAGACCCTACACCATTTCTGACAAATGGCAGTCCAATCTCTTATTGAAGGTCTCAAGTGATGGCGCTCCCACAACTTCCGAGGACAACTTCTGTTCCATTGGTTGATTTTTCTCACTGTCAGAAAGTTTCTCCTTATTTCCAGGTTAAATCTCTCCTTGTTCAGTTTCTATCCATTATTCCTTGTCTGGCCTTCAGGTGCCTTGGAAAAATAGCTTGACTCCCTTCCTCTCTGTGGCAGCCCCTCAAATATTGGAAGACTGCTATCATGTCTCCCCTGGTCCTTCTCTTCAACCGACTAGCTAAGCCCAATTCCTGCAACCGTTCTTCATATGCCTTAGTCTCCAGTCCCCTAATCACCCTAGTTGCTCTTCTCTGCACTTTTTCTAGAGTCTCAACATCTTTTTTATAATGTAGTGACCAAAACTGGATGCAGTACTCTAGATGTGGTCTTACTAAAGCTTTATAGAGTGGTATTAGTACCTCACTTGATCTCAATTGTATCCCTCTGTTAATGCAATTTAGGATTGCATTAGCTTTTTTGGCTGCTGCTGCACACTGTTGGCTCATATTTAGCTGGTTGTCTACTAGGACTCCAAGATCCCTCTCACAGTTACTGCTATTGAGCCTGGTTTCACCCAGTCTATATGTGTACTTTTGATTTTTCTTGCCTAAGTGTAGGACTTTACTTTTCTCTACACTGAATTTCATTTTGCTAGATACGGCCCAGTGTTCTAGTCTGTCAAGATCCATCTGGATCTTGAGCCTATCTTCTTGGGTGTTAACTATTCCTGACGGCTTAGTATCATCTGCAAATTTGGTAAGTTCCCCTTTTATTCCCTCATCTAGGTCATTAATGAAGATATTGAAGAGTATTGGGCCTAAGACGGAACCGTGTGGCATCTGACTGCTTACTTCCCTCCATGTAGACTTAGACCCATTAAGGACCACTTGTTGACTATGGTTTGTCAGCCAGTTGTGAGTCCATCTAGTAGTGGTGCTATCTATTCCACATTTTTCTGGCTTACTAAGAAGTAGATTGTGGTCTACTTTGTCGAATGCCTTGCTGAAATCTAAATATATTATGTCCACAGTATTTTGCTGGTCTACTACACTATGTTGAAGAATGAAATAAGATTGGTTTGGCATAACAAACCCGTGCTGACTGTAAGTTATTACTTTCCTTGTTTCTAGATGTTGGCAGATCTTTTTTTTTTTTATCATATTTTCAAATATCTTCCCGGGTATTGATGTTAGGCTGATTGGTCTATAGTTTCCTGGGTCTGTTTTTGTTTTCCTTTTTTTGAAGATGGGAACCACATCAGCTCTTTTCCAGTCCTCTGGTAGTTCCCCGGTGCTTCAGGATTTTTGAAAGATATGGTGCAGTGGTTCTGAGATGACCTCTGCCAGTTCCTTTAAAACTCTGGGGTGTAATCCATCAGGCCCCGGTAATTTGTGTTCATCAAGATCAGACAGGTGTTCTCTTACTATTTTTTTGCTTATTTTAACTTTTATTTCTGGTCTGTCTTTTACAGTTATGTTTTTGGTAGGTTGAGCTATAGTTTCTTTTTGCATGAAGATCAATGCAAAGAATGAGTTAAGCAGTTCTTCTTTCTCTCTGTTGCCTGTTACTTCTTTGCCATCTTCTCTCTTTAGTGGATTGACTGTTTCCTTGATTTTTTTCTTGTAATTTATATGTTGGAAGAAACATTTTTTATTCTCTTTGACTTTTTTTGTTTGTTCTGAGCCTTTGCTTTCCTGTCTTCGTCTTTGAAGATTCTGGCTATCTGCTGATATTCTGCCTTAGTTGTATGTCCTTCTTTCCATTTGTTGTTCTTGTCCTTTTTTTCTTTCAATTTGCCAGAGAGATCTTTGTGCAGCCATGCTGGTTTCTTCTTGGATTTCTTGTTTTCCTTTCTCAGTGGTATTGTGCTGGTCTGAGCTTCTATGATCGTACTTTTCAGAGTTTCCCAAGATTCCTGAGTTGTTTTCCCCTTTAGGATTTTCATCTCGGGAAAGTTCTGTCTGAGTTTATTAAAATCAGCTCTTTTAAAAGACTCTGGTGTCATTATGTTCTGTTGCTTGTGTTTGTGTTATGTTAAATTCTAGTATGACATGGTCACTATCACCCAAGGTTCCTGCAGTTTCAACTCCCTCTATCACTTCTTCTCTGTTTGTAAGAATTAAGTCCAGTATGGCTGTCCCTCTGGTTCCATCCTCTACCTTTTGGACAACAAAGTTGTCAGCTAGGTTGGTTAGGAACTTATTTGATTTCTCACTTGGTGCAGAATTAATTTTCCAATTGATATCAGAATAATTGAAGTCCCACATTACTATTGTTGTGTGTTTCCTGCATATGTTTGTTAGTTGGTTGGCAAAAAGGACATCTATTTTTTCTGCTTGATTGGGTGGCCTATAATATACACCCATGGCTATGTCATTCTTTTTTTCTTTTATATTGACCCATATGCATTCTAGGAGGTTTTCATCTTTGGTTTCATGCATCTCTGTAGCAATATAGTGGTCCTTTACATACAGTGCAACTCCACCTCCTCTTTTATGGGGTCTGGTTTTTTTGAACTGCACCAGTGTTCCCCAATTCTTACAGAAACCAGTGAACTGGTTTAATTATTCAGTTCATTACAAATGCTTTCCTGTCACTTCAGTTGCCTGAACCCTGAAGGCAGCAAACTCAGGGAAGTCTCAAAGGGAATTTGAACTCGGTTGTACTATCCTGGCCAGAAGGCTGTCTTTCCTCCTCCTTCCTTCCCTCAAGTTCTCCAGTTTTTGCAAGTTCAGATTTCTTTGATCTCATGCTCAGGATATTTAGCTTTCCTTTCATGCATGAGAGTAAAATGCCACTTTTAGCTCCCAGCAGAACAGCTCTCTGATTAGATAAGGCCACAAACATTTGCATAGGTATCCTTTGGAGAGAGAGACAGAAAAAAGCAAGAAACTTGCATTTCCAGATGTGGCCTCGACTTAATCAGTCCCTTCCTTCATCAAAAGCAATGGCAAAAACTAGTTATTTGTTCTTGAAGGAATCCATTACAAATTAACTGGTTGGGTGTCAATCAATAAACTTTGATTTTGAAGTGGCATTTTATTGCTGAAATTGAGCAATTTCCCCCCTGTAGTGAAAATTTCTCTGTGTAGTGGACAACATAGTGAATTTCTAAGCTACCCTTTTTTGAGAAGAAACATTTTATACTGAGATAAAATACTGTGAAAACATATGGATTGTGCTACATACATTTTGATACACTCATACACATCCCAACATAAACTCAGAATAGAGAGACTCAAACATTTTATCTCTTTTAGTTCTCAGAATGATGTTTTGGATTTTCTAAATGAGGGGTGTTTATTAGGTCCAGAATATCTGTTTGGGAAAGATCTTGTATATGAATGAACCCAATTAGCTTCCTTGACAACAGTAAGGAAGATCTTACTTGCTGTCTTGCTGCAATTTTTGACTTCTTGTGTCCTGGGATTTCTTGTTTATTTTGTTTGGTCCTGCTTAGCATTTTTAGGTTGTATATCCAGGCATACAACTTTTCTTTACCTGAATCTATCCTCCACTGATTACATAGACACAACTATATCATTTTCTTAGCAACTCTACAAAACTGCTTTGCTGCTGTCTTCCATCTAGGAGTTTTATCTCCTTGTGGTTTTCCACCCTTATAAGCATTCATACCCACAAACACACCACTAGCAAGTTTGTTTTATTTTAAACATTCACTTATTTGCAAATCTATGCAAAATAGAAGAAAGGCTGGGCACACCTCTGTCTATTTGGAGTGTTAGCAATCACTGGCCACCTGTTTCAGTTAGGTGATTCACCCCATGTCACTTTCTTCTGATGTGACAAAATGTCTCAAAATGGAGCACTACTCTATGTGAAGAGTCAACACAATGGCAACTGGCCAGATTTCCATTATCAACCTGCTGTTCATGGGCAGATGCTCAAACTGAAGTGCTAAGATGATCTCTCTTGTAGTAAAGTTTATGTATCCCAACATCAGTTAGAATGTTTGTTTCATGAACTAAAGAACAAAGAACAGTTTAACAAGTTTTCTTCTCCACTTTAAATTAACTACGGTTGGAAAGAAAAGAAGGTAACAGATTAAAAAATAAAATCAGTGCATTCTACACAGAATACAATTAGTTTTTCTCCAACTTCCCTCCCTTTGGTGGATGCTAAGTGCCTGTGTATACCAAACACGTCTTTAAAACCACTATAGCATGAAAGTATTGCACCTGATGAACTTCAGATGTGCTTTAAGAGGGCAGAAACCAAAAAGCAGAAGGAAATAGAAAAGGGCACACTCTGCTCTTTGAAGAGTCACCAGCATGGAACTGGATTGCTCTAATACAGAGGAGGAATGGGCAAAGGGCAAAAGAAAACATGTTTGGCACCTCTACAATTTCCTCCTACTCCTAAAATGCCCCCACCCAGCCGATGTCTTTTCTTTCAAAAATATATTTTTCTAATTCGTACATAGGCTTAATTCTCAGACTTCATCACATAACAAAAATGGTTGCATCAGCTTTATTGCATGCCTTTTACTTGATTATTGGACTTGACTTCAGCACCTATAATTCCAGGGTACAAAGCCATGTCAACCCAACGATTACAAGAGTGGGCCTAATGACTGGGGGATAATGGAGATGAACTCCAGTATATCTATGCAATATATTTAGAAGCACTCACAGATGCAGAAATAGATTTTTTTTTGCAGCTGATAAAGCTAGATCAAATGAGACTTGATATCTGCTTGCAGGTACATGAAGGAAGGCAATAAGGATGACATGCATATCTACTACAAGATGTGACGTACCTGTGAAATGGATTACAAATCCTGTATTGCTGACAGAAGCATCACTACGAAAGGCCAGGAAGAGGTTGTTGCTGCTGCTCTCAATCCTTTCTGGTACTTGGGTATCATAGAAACTCCCAATCAGGGGACTAAGTGAGCTGGGCCCATCATAGATGTGCAAGAAATCATACCCTGGTTCCAAATTAAACCTGAAAGGAAAGAGAAAAGGAAACTAAGTATATCAAGTATCTGACTACTGAGACCAGGGATATAATGGAACTCTCTGAACCTCAGAACAATAATGGACATTTGCAAAACATTGCAAGACAAGAACAGGTGCATAGTCATAGCTCAATAATGACTTAGCCAGGTCTATTAAGAAACATTTAGAGCAGTGTTTCTCAACCTCTGTGAATTTAAGATGTGCAGACTTCAACTTCCAGAATTCTCTAGCTACCGTGTTTCTCCAACAATACGGCCTCCACCAATAGGAAGGCCCAGCATGATTTCTAGGCATGAGGTGAAATTAAGACCCGCCCCCAAAATTTAGGCCTATTTAATCCATGCATTTCCCAATTTCTCACATCGTTCGTTAAAACTACATGAGGTGAAGAGAAATAGGGGGGAGGGAGAGTGAGAAAACTTGCCTTTAGGAGCACCCTGCAGGTAGCCTAGGCTAGAATACCCCAATCTACTACCGATAGAACATCGGCCAATAGAAGCTCCCTGAAGGCAGAGTCACCAGCCACTTCTATCGGCCCAGTAGAAGCGGCCTCGGGGTGAGAACCCACGTGCATTCCCCTCACCATGAAGCCGTTTCTATCGGCTGATGGAAGCTCCCCAAAGGCAGAGTCACCAGC